AGCTATGTTTGCATATGGTATAATTATGCAAAATAGTTTATAACAGACATTCGGTCTGCAGATTGGTGCATTAGTTATTGTGAGGTTTTCGCACAATCCCGCACGAAAGAAATCTATAAAGCCGTAACGAATCTTTTCCATCCAGAACAGAGATATGTTTTATTTTTAATCAACAAATGAACATTTAGCATATTTAATTCTGAGAGAGTTAACAATAAAAATTGAAGTCGTTTTGGTAAGTTAATTATGATCTCGCTGTACATTTTGAGTAAAATATGTGATTGTCTGGTCCTACGTTATATTTGCTCGAGAAGAACCTGTTTAAAGTAAATGTTAAATAGCAGCTGGATGAAGAGTGGACAGTATTTGTGCGGAGCAAATTAACTGATTATGACTGTATAGTCGAACGAAATTAAATTCATTAACTATACACAGTAGAATGCGACAAAGCAGCGAAATTAATAACTGTTTGTGTTAAATTTAACGGCAAAAAATTAAAACACTGGAAGCATCATAAAGTTAATTAAAATTAAATTACGAATTTGCAATTACATATGCATGCCGTATTCTTGATTTTTAAAAACGTCAATACTATCGTCTTGTTTATAAGTTATTATGAAGCAAATAATTGAACTAAAAATAAATTATTAAATTACATTATACCAAAAAGCCTGTTAAAATAAATAAACTTTTTTTTGACAAAAGTTTTATCACAAAATTAGGTCACTAAGCGCTCTATACGTTAACGAGATTGTAAAAAGAAGTTAAAATAAACTATCCTGTTCAAAACTTTTGTCATCATTTTTCTCACGATTGAGATAAGAAGCTCTCAAGTTCATGAAAAAAAGCTTTTGTTAGCCTTTGGTGCGCAAAGATAATCCAAACACAACGCATATTGACTTTGTTTTAAAAGAATTTATTTATTCTTCCTAGGCATTTTTTGCTTATAAGCATATAAACAGAAGAAACACTTTTATTGTCCATATTCTATGTGAAATTATTTATGACAATACATAATCACTTCATTTAAAGCTTTGAAATTAATAATTAATATTGCGATTAACTGTGAAAGTATTGGCATATGTATAATAAAAGATATCGATTTAAGAAAAGAAATATGATAAAAAATTATTACAGTAGAATTTTCTGTCGTAAATATTTTATAATATAAAATTTCAATATTACGTTTAAATATTAATAAATTCACATTATTCAAAACATACACACACATTTAAACATAAATAAAAAGTATTTAAATATATAATATTTTCTATTCTCTTCTCCTTTAGCAATATTCTATATTACATATGACACATTGGCATCTTTATTGCCGATTCCCGCGACGTTGATTAACTCTAATCTCAACGTACGTATATCTTTCTATTCGTGTCATGATGCGATCATCTAGAAAGAATGAATTCAGTTAACTTCAATTAAGGTTAATCAATGTCAGAAGCATCGATTTCTAAAATAAAGGTCATAATTCTAGTAATGCGTCAATCATTTCATAAATTGTATAAACTCGCCAGTTAAACCTGAATTAAACGACATTTCTGATTTGCTTTTCAATAATCATTTTTCAAGTAACGCAAATAGATGTTGGAGAAAAAGTTTTGCAGAATTTTGTTAGTTCACAATTATATGTGTAGAATATACTTGTTGCAAAATTTTCGATTATCTGACGTGAAAGCTTAAAGATTTTCCTAAAAATTCATTTTTAAAAAATGTTCCCACGACTCTTTTTGTTACTAAGTTACACGCGAATTAAATAAAAGAGCATTCTGATTTTGATTGCTCATATCTCCGTTAAAATCATCGTACTGTAATTAATAAAACAGATTCTTAGAGCTAAAATGTTGTTCTATCAAGTGGTATAATTGCCAATTTAAAAAAAAATAGAATATATGTACATTTGAGCTAAAAATGTGATATTATTGTCCTTTTTTCCATTGCACAATGATTATATATAAGGATAGTAATATTATATTTTTAACTCAAATTTCTATATATTTTACATTTAAAAAATTAGCATAATACTATTCGATAGAGTAACCTATCAGCTTTAAGAATCTGTTTTTTTTAATTGCAGTACGATGATTTTTAATGGAGTTATGAGCAATCAAAATTAGAATGCTCTTTTTTATCTAACTCGCGAATAACTCAAGAACAAAAATCGTAGAAACGTTTTTAAAAAACGATTTCGTAAGAAAAACTCCAAACTTTTACGATATAGATAATCGAAAATTTTTGCAAATTTTTTTTGGCATGTGACAGACTCACAAAGTGAGAAGAAAAATTTCTCTTTTTTTCAGCTCGTAGTTTTTTATATATAAAAATTATTATACAAAACTTACATAAATTCAAAAAATATAGTAACCATTTGGGAGTAGAGATTTTAAGTTTTAAAACCCTTTTTAAAATTTAAATTTTGATCAGTTTTAATGAAAAAATTGTATACGGTAAGATTGTCGAAATCACACCACTTTTTACTTAAAGACTCATTAATTATGAAGAAATTATGAAGAATATCCTTAAGTTTTTTACACATAATAAACTGCACTCTTTTCTTATGTAATTTTTTTACGCTATTATAACGTTGAAAATGATGATTTTTTTCAATATGATGCGATTTTGGTAACGAGGAAATTCGTTGCCTAAACCGTACCATGCCAATGTTCCTCATTTAAAATATTACAATAATATAACGCAAAAAATTTAAAAATTCGAAAAGGAAAAGTTAAAAATAAGAAATGAAAACAATTGTATTTTATTATGCTCTTAAAAACTTATGAATATATTTTTTATAATTTCTGAAACACATGATAATTTTAAGAAGTAATTTAAGGTTTCTATGTGAAACAAAATAAATAGTTCGTAGGTTTACAATAAATATTTTCATATAATAATAAATGGAAATAAAAATATAAAAAATGTAAAAATATTAAGCAACGTGCAATTTATAGGTCAGATTGTGGTACGATTTATAAAATATATTACAGTATAATGTGATTTAGGAACCTAGAGATTTTTAAAACTTTTATTTATTTAACCTATAAACAAAAATGTAAAACAAACTTTGACCCTATTAATTCAATTTTAATAATATTCTAATTACGATAAATGTCAATCAAGACTTAGGCTATTTAATTTACATTTTCTGTAATTCTGCTGTAAGATACGTTGAAAAATATCAATGCTATCACAATTTTTTACTTACATAAATAACTCGTATTATGCTTCATGTCGCGAGTATAACGTAAATTAAAGTATAATGTAAATTAAATAGCAGTATCAAGTAATTCTTAAATAACTCATAAGAAAGTATATAAATACAATAATTGAATTTTTAAGCAAGATAGTGCGATTTAGGAGCCGGTGCGATTTCAGCAACTTTACCCTATATAATTTTGAGCTAACAAAATACTTCAGAACTTTTCCTCCAATCCAATACATTATTACATGTTCTACGCATTTTTACAGCCTGCGCTCAAAAAACAGTTCATGTTGATCCGTATCAGCCAGTGTACATTATAATCGACACACAATGTCCGTCTTACATATCTGTATTCTATTAGATTGTATACATTATAATTGATTTTTATACTTATATGGACAAACTTGTTCGAATAATTTACACATGGCTTTTGATCTTTTTCCAAGAGATATGGAATATGTTTGACTGTCCAATCGCATGCGAATAATGCGATAATGTTCTACGTGAAGACTCACTCGAGCTGTTATTAAATATAAGGAATATGCGGGTATTTTCGATAACTAATTTTGTACATCGATCTTTGCGATAAGTAAATGTCCGAAGAGGGCTAAATCCAGTAGCCGAAACTTGTATTATTTCATATTTGAATTTAGACTGTTTTCTTTATTTT